ATCTGTATTAAGTCCCAAAGACAGTGGATAAAAAGGTCCTGATTTTGAGGATTAAATAATATCTTCTATATTAAGTATTTAGCATAAAGTATATATAACTTTAATAAATTTAGGTTGGAATTACGTTTAATATAATGGCGCTATTTGTGCCACAAAAAATGTACTAAAATTATGGAGCAGCATATTCCTGCAGTTTTACTGCAAATTCTAGGACCGTATTTTTACACGACAGTGCCACCTAGCATATCGGATGCCCAAGGACCACGTGCATACTATTAGCATACGGCAACAGGACAAAATGAATGGCAAACATTCTAATTACAATAGAATTATTATATTGTTTTTTATATTTAATATATTTATGCAGTACATTATAATCAGACATTGGATTGTGCTTGTGGCTCAATGTACTGTGCCTCTAATCTAAAGGCCACTGGTTGAAGTCCGGCCTCATCATGTTCACAGGTCCTTGAGCAAAGCCATAACCCCCAGGTCTCTGGGCCTGCTATGGTTGTCTATTCTTCGTGGCCAAGCCTGCTTATACCTACAGAGAGCAAGCTGAAGGAGGTATAAATCAAATTTCCTCACGGGAAGCAAAAAATTATATATATTACAAAATTTTTGCGTTATTAGACAAACCTATCCTGGTGTGCCGGCCCTAGGTGGTGCTGTCGGATAAAACTGAGATCCTAAAGCTGCAGCTTCATTATATCCTCCTGAGACCAAAGGAAAAAGTGTCCTTCAATTATAGGTTATTTGTCTTTGGAGGAAATAAGACATCTTATAATTTAGATTTTTTCAAATTTATTTTTATTTTTTATTTCACAGCATGTCCTCTTTAGTGTACAACAGGAATAAATATGTTTCCTTACATTAGTGAAAAGATAGATGCAAAAACAACATGTCCACTACAATGGACATAAATGAATGGTTGGGGTCTCAGGAGGATATAAAATAAGGTTCCGGTCTTCAGTTTCTGGCAAAGGTACCAGTGAAGAACCCATATGGTAACAGGTCACTAAATCTTTTACATAATAACTCTTGTAATAACAATAACTTAAAAAGTCAAAATAGACAGAAACAATCAACACATTTGCAGTATACTGACAATAAAATTGATTATCTCTTAAGAAAAAAAGGACGATTGTAAGGTGTGGATAGGTGATGTCATGATGTAAAGGGGAGAGTGAGGTCTTTGATTCAACAGCTTATGCGATGTAGGAAAGATTAATTTTCTGATTTAACCAAAAGAACAAAGCTGAGAATAGTTTTAAGTTAAACCACGACAAACTAGTGAGTTGTGTTACACATAATTCATAAAGGTAAAACTGTTAGCTAATTAGGCCAAATTACCTCTTAATTAGAAGGTTACCTAAAATGCTGGTTGAATAATAAGTTGAACTGTGAAGGATGAGTAGATGTAACTTTTAATTCCTTGCAGCGTGTGCTAGGGGGATATAACGAGCCGAGGTGAACTGAGTATTGACCTTTTAACGTTGTTATGCCTGAATTCAATTCGCTTTAATTTTTCTTTATGAATGTTGAATTTTGAGTAGAACATGTGGGATTACTGAAAGACGCTAAAGATATTGGAAAATGAAATTTAAATAAGGACTTATTAGACAATCACAAATAGATACAAAATAACTATTCCATACAATCTATACCCAGTCAAATTAGGCAAGCTGACTGAAACTACGATGAACTAAATTTAGACAATTTTAGTGGATTAAAGGTGTGATGAGCCTCGTTCATATGCGATAGAGTCTGAAGGAAAGAAATATAGACGCAACAGACGTCACATTCTGCCCGTGATGGAGCCTCAGCCTTCAGAGACCATCGTGCACATCAGTGAACTGGAGACGTCACAGCACACACCTGACAAGAAATACTGAACGAACATTGCCTGAGGAGTGTCACAAACAACTAGGTTCAGAAAAGACTCTCCACAGTGTCACGGCAGCACAGGAGGAGGCAAGCTGAAGGCCCAGCTCAATCCACCACTCCTGTGAATGTCACTAGGTTTGATAGAGTCTCAAAACCAAACAAAAAGTATATATACTAAATGGAAAACAAAGTACTAAGATCAGAGGTTTAAAAACAATAATTCCGTTTATTAATATTTGTATTATTATAATGTTTAACTTTCCACATAGTAGATTTAAATGTGAAATATTCACATTATTTTGTTTTCATGCTAGTGTGAGCAGTTGAAGTTTTATTTAATGTGTTATTCACAAGGAGGCAAAGCAGCGCTACGGGAGGAAACTAGAGTCACAGCTCCAACAGAGTGACTCGAGGAGCCTGTGGCAGGGACTAAGAACAATAACGGACTATAAAGCATCAACCTCCGTGGACGTGTCTCTGGCAGACGAGCTGAGCATCTTCTATGTTCGCTTCGAGGCTGCAGCTGAAGACGCTAGCGAGGCTAATGCTGGCGGCGCTAACGGCTGCAGACAGGAACGACACTGCCAGCACCGGAAACTCGTCCATCACGTCATGCTCGGAGAGCCTTCAGGAGAGTGAACACCAGGAAAGCAGCAGGACCAGACGGCATCTCAGGTCGAGTCCTCAGAGCCTGCACAGACCAGCTGGCACCTGTGTTCACAGAGATATTCAACCTCTCCTTACCTCAGTCGGTGATTCCCACATACTTCAAAGAGTCCATCATGGTTCCCGTTCCAAAGAAACCCCATCCTGCTTCCCTCAATGACTATCGACCTGTAGCCCTCACCTCAGTAGTGATGAAGTGCTTTGAGCGGCTGGTCAGAGACTTCATCATCTCCTCACGACCTGATACACTGGATCCACTACAGTTTGCTTACCGTTCAAACCGCTCTACAGACGACGCTCTATCTCATCTCCTCCATTCATCTCTCACTCACCTGGACACTAGAAGGGGGAATTATGTTCAAATGCTTTTCATCGACTACAGTTCAGCATTTAATACCATAATTCCCTCCACACTCACCACCAAGTTGGAGCACCTGGGACTCAGCTCATCTATGTGTCAGTGGATCTCCAACTTCCTAACTGGCAGACCACAGGCAGTAAAGATGGGCGGACATGTCTCAGCCCCCCTCACTCTCAGCACTGGAGCCCCCCAGGGTTGTGTTCTGAGCCCCCTGCTGTACGCATTGTACACGCACGACTGCGTAGCCTCTACCAACTCCACCACCATCATCAAGTTTGCTGATGACACCGTCGTGATGGGCCTGATCACTGACAACGATGAGACGGCCTACCTGGAGGAGACTGGAAATCTGGAGAACTGGTGCCAGAGGAACAATCTCCTTCTAAACGTCAGCAAGACAAAGGAATTGATAGTGGACTTTAGTACCAAGCAGGAGAGGAACTACCAAACCCCCGTCATCAACAAGAGCCCAGTGGAGAGAGTGGACAGCTTCAGATACCTTGGTGTCCACATCACGCAGGACCTGTCATGGTCCTGTCCACCTCAGACACTTGAGAGACTTCAGACTGCCCTGCAGAGTGCTCAGGAATTTCTACTCCTGCACCATAAAGAGCATCCTGACCGG